AATCAAATCCAAAAAAAAAAAAAAATGACATGAGTAGACACGTTGTACAATAAGTATATAGTAATGCAAAACGATGCACGCAAGTGGGTTAATCAGCGTGGCCGTGTGTCTCAGCAACAGGTCGCCGAACGAGATCGAAGGCACGAGCCTGGGCAACCGAGCCTCGGTCCTGCGGGACAACCCAGCCTTCCGGCCGGACTCGGCGCCCCACCCGCTCATCCTCGAGAACCACCTGTTCCAGCCTTTCGGCCTCCACGCCGATACGCCCACGCATCCGCAAACTGCGCCCCACACGCCCACGGAGCTCGAGCGCGAGCTTAAGCGCGAGGCCTCCGAGGAACGGGAGCGCAACGCCGAGCACAAGGACGGCGTCGCCGAAGGTACGGATGCTTTTTCCTCTCTACTCCGATCGTCGTGTGAAAAAAAAAAAAAAAAAAAAAAAAAAAAAAAAAAAGAAAATCAATAAACGCGTCGGGGGGGATGTAATAACTTTGTTGCAGATCTGCGGATAAAGCAGGAGCCCGACGAGCGGGAGCGCGCTAACGGGTTGAGCATCGGCAGCTCGAGGCGCTCGGATGGCCTGTACGGCTCGGCCCAGCGCAGCTACGAGGGCGCGGTTGCCGCGTTGCCCTGCAGCAGCAGCACCACCACCAGCAGCAGTCTCCAGCACGGCTACGTGAACAGCAGCCACGTCGAGTTGCCGTCCACCTCGACCACCTCCCACCATCTCCAGCATCAGCAGCAGCAATTGTCGTCGCCGCCGTCGTCGGTGCCGCCCGCACTGCCCTCGTCCTCGCCGACCTCGTCCTCGCAGTCGCCGCTCTCGCCCTCGATACCGTCCACGTCTCGGGGCCCGACCGGCAAGAGTCCGCCCAACGGCCGCGCCGGGGCCGCGGGACCAGGTAGGAGCCCGAAGTTTGCCGCCTCGCGCACCACTCCAGTACTCAGTCCCACCGACCCCACGTCTCCCGTATCCTGGTCCTCGACGGCCAAGCTCAACAAAAAGCTCACTTATGTCACTGCGCCCGACGGTCGTGAGTACATTACCTATATATTATTTCTTCACGCTTTCTCTCTCACGCATCGCTCATTAAACCTTTTTTCATCCACACACCCCCCCCCCACCACCACCACCACCGCTCTTATGGGTTGCAACTGTACTTACTCCGATGGGGTGTGGTTTAATTTGGTATAAGGGTGCATGCACACGTCACGTTCATCGTCACGCTTTTTCACCAAATGCTACTCGTTTACCAATAACTTGTGATTATTGTTTTTGTTGTTGTTTCATGAAGACATTATTAAAAATGTACATATACATATATTTATATGATCCACGTTGTCGTTGTCGCGTAATCCCTCCTACATGTATATTGCACCCACTATATATAACCCAGCTGACGTTGCATCTATGTAATATAAAGGAGTGTGTAAGGCTGCATTGTCCAATTAAAAGAGAAAGTGAAAGGTTTTTTTTTTTTTTTTTTTTTTTTTTTTTTTTTTTTT